AATTTGAAACCAAAATGTTTAGATTTTGTTTTCTTGATGGGATGGATTATAGACGCCTGCCGAAACCTTCTCAAAATAATTTCGTCATACCCTTTTCTAAGATTTTAATATATTTCGTCTAATTTTGACTGTTATTAAGAGGTTTCGTCCCTCATCTATAGGAGGGATATTTAAGCCTCGACTGTAATGTCGAAAAATCTGATAATTTATAAAACTTCAATTTTTGGATCTCGTAATTCAATAAATGTATGAACTTAAAGTATTTTAATTTTAGGAAAGAGAATCTACAATAAAATAAAGTTAAAATTAAATATAAATTAATAGCTTTTCCTTCCTTAAATTTCTTAAATTCCTCCATAGTTTTATCATAATGATTATATCTATCACGCAACTTGAAGAAGCTTCACCCTACGATGGTCGATATTTTACGTATGTTACTTCTTTATTATTCTCATTACCTTGAAATTAAATGTATTGATTCGGTTTCATGTTTAATATATATTCATCGTATGTTGTTAGAAAGTTAATTTCAGACATTGATTCTACTTCTTTCCCTATATCATGAATAAGAATATTCAAATTAAATCTATTACACTATTATACAATTATAAGAGGATAGTAAAATAAATCTTTCCAAATACTACTAACATATATTTCATCTTTCCACATTATCAGCATCTTTATCCCAAATTATCAAATAAAGCTTAGCCGAATATGAAAACTTCATTAGTTGCATTGGGAAGGTGGTAAAAAACTTTCTTCGCTAAGTGTAATGTCTGGTTTCTCGTTTTAAGAATACATATGAATTCCTGTATGACTTTAGGGACAATCGATATTCGTATTCTGACAATTTCACTACGTTGCTACAAGTAGGGAATGATAGATTTCATTCTGTACTGCTTTTTAAAGTATCAATTGCGAAGGTAAAATGTAACTTTAACAGAATGTAATTTATATAATGAATTAGATTTTGGTATCAAAATGAGAATGTCGAACCACTTCAAATTTCGAACCTATAAATACATTTCTTTTTAGAAGCTTGTTGTTGTTTAATTTACGTCAATAATACAATTGGTCTAATTATCGCCTAAATTAATCTCACAAATGATATTTCGATATGTTATTACAAGATCCTTTTGGATCTCATTATTTGTCAAAGAGATTTTGTTTTTTGATTTTATAACACAATACTGACTTAGTTACTTAATTAAGAGAAATTCAGTAACGAAAACTTAGTTTTTTTTTTAAAAAAAAATCAGTCGTAGTTCATAAAAAAATTATAAAATGATTTTTTTTTTTTATAAAATCACGACAAGCTAAAAATGGTTTACAAAAAATTTTCCAAAAGAAATAATGTATTCATTGTTTTATAAAGTCGGTTAAGCAAAATTCATTATTATTTAAAAATTCAATTTTAGCGAATGTAAAACAGATTATTACAGATTTAGTTCAATAATAATATTCTTCGAAGATAAGCGAAAATGTCAAGGCAACGCTATCAGAATGTTTTTAATAAAATCATAAAATTCGCGAATGCTGACAATAAATTTCTGAACACCGCACAAACAATTGAAATATAGAGGTTGGAAACCGGTTAATTAATAGATATATAAATTTTATAAATTTATCTGCTACTCTTATAAATAGATTCGTTTTCAACATTTATTAATAAAAAGATTGATACATATATAACATCGCTATTGCCTTTATCTCACACCCTTCCACTTTGATTGATGCAAGTATTTACATACTGTTGCGATATTGGCTAACTTTGTTTCTTTTCGTTATCCAGCTATGTAAACATTATTCCTTCAATATTAAATGCGTTTTACTTCCGCGAATTTAATATTTTAATTATTATAATCCTCTATTTTTACATCTTGTTAAAAAGAATAACGAGAGCAATACACATACGGTTGCCAATAGTACAATTATAGACATTCCATAACGTTTTAATAATTTAGCAATTTTACAAGTTAAAATGATAATTTAAATAATATTTGGTTCACATTCTTAAAAATTTAATAATTATTAATTCTTACGAGAAAGATTGTATCCATAATCTAGATCCAAATGTTTTAAAGATTCGCCGGATGCAAGAAGGGTGATAAGATTATGCTTGATCAATCTTTAGCGGCTAAATAGCAACTCATATTTTCTTACATACTCCTCCTTTATATTAATAGATAAAATGATTTGTTGAAGGAATAACTTCAAACTTTCCACTGGTAGTTATACGTTCTAGACTTATGTGGATCGCATAAGTAAATTCCCGCCTCAATTTCATGTAAAAATCTTTACGACCAGCATCATCATTTCCTTTATAATGAACGGTTCCGTTAGGTGTCAATCGAACTCTTCCTGCAATTCTACCTGAACTTTTTTAACTACCATATCTAATTGAAAATGATTGATAGATTTCATTTAAATAAAACTATGAAAACGGGACGTCGCGTTATTTAATTTTGATAAAAAATCAACAGTTTAAGGTTTTTTTTTTAAATTAATAAATTTTTTTTATCTCACAAAAATATTATCAGAGATACATAAATAATATAAGTGATACATAATCAAAAAAGGAATAAGCAGGGTAATTAAGAAGGTTACCACAAAATCGTTAAGTGCTCTCCAATAGAAAGTCTTTCGCTACACTCCGGACAATGAATTTATAAAAAAAAAACACTTACTTGTTGTGTAGTTTTTGGTAAAGGCGACTTTTTACAATACCATTTTCTATTAATACATAACATTTTGAATGTACTTTCAATTATTTTTAACGATAACGGTAGTTCCGTTCCGTGTTATATAATCGGTATTGCTTCCAGAAATGTTTTGACGTATAATCTTACGATCATCCATGATCTAGTATATATTATTAAGTATATAAAAAAAATGAAATAAGTAAAAATAAAAAAAAAAATAGTCAAATGTGCTGGAATTTGGTTTATTTGTTCTTTGATAAAATAATTTCATCTTTAAATTGTAAAGTTATAAATAGTTCTGTCTTAGGATTGGACTTCCAACTCTACAATAAAATTCTTATTTACATTTTCAAACCGAAATAGCATTAAAATATTCTCATGTTACGGATCTCTGAGTTCAACTTTCAAATAGATGAGGGGCGTTTTAACTTAAAGAGATATTAGTTTATTCTGTGCCAATTTACGCCGATCAATTAATTCATAACGACTAAGCCATGTTTGATTAATCAATCGACTTTAAATTTTGACATATGATTCTCCGAGCAAAACCTGCTGATTTAAGTAAACAATTAGTCCAAAAAGAACAAATAGTAAATTTTTCAACTAAATGAAGAATTGAGAAATTTAATATTACATAAATTTGTGGAAAAAAAAAATATGGATCCAGACACATTAAAAACGGCCGCGGCAAACATCCAGCGTGAAGAGCAAAGGGCAACAGGTCAAACCCCTGCAGGAGGAGTCGGTATGCATCTTTACGACCATATATCATGTTTAAGATTATATTTCAATGTAATTAAAATTTAAAATTATTTCCCGCAGCCGCTAGAGCACAATCTTTAGCTGATCGTGCAGCTAAAGGACAACCAATGACTCAAACTAAACCAAAAGAGCAGCAGAATATTGATAAAGTTAATGTCGAAGATGTTAAAGAAGCTGCAAGTATACTGAACCGTGAGGAAAGCAAATTATATGGAGGTGTAAATCCACCTGATACGGCAGGTATAGTAATTATATCCAATAATAATGTATCTTTTTGGTTTTACGAGTTCTAAATGATATTATGGATTTAAATAGCATCTCACGCTCAATCATTTGCAAATAAGATTCGCCAAGAAAAAGAGAGAACTGAATAATTGCTTGGTTAAAGATTGCTTTTATACTTTAAAAACATTTCACATGCATGACTTCTATTCTTTTTCTCAAATAACGATTTTACATTTTAAAGATCAATGATTTTTAAATAGTCTATTACGAAAGATTTTTATGTCATTCTCCCAATTCTCTATTTTTTTTTTTTTTTTTGCAAAATCTGATGTTATTTCGTTATTAAAGAATTATGGAAACAAGAATTTGAGAAATTATTAATAACTAAGTAATTAATCATAAGTTAAGTCTAATTTTCAACGAATATATATCGCTTAAAATATTTTTTTTTTGATCTTAATAAATGGGTATTCACATTATTGGAATTCACAATCGATATGTTAAATTAATAAATAGTTTTTGTATACTCTTCAATATTATAATTAATCATTTCTTCAAACTATAACGTTCAAAATAAACAAGATTGATTAATATTGTGAGGTCCAATATTGAATTAATAAATTAAATAAAATAAAATCAATAGTTGGATAAATTTGTAACATGTAGACAATGCCATTTAATATTGAACGGAGGTGTTAACGTCACTTCGTGACATATAAATACAAAACCGTACAATACCCATAAAATATTAAACAACTAGATTTAATAATCGTTTGAAAATAACAAGAAAGAGAATTTAAATAGACACGTCAAAAGAAATATTTATACACGTGATTTGTGTGCCTTAGTTACTGTAATCTTCCCACCAAGTTTTTCACCCCCACGTTCCTCAAATAATATGTCACTCAGTGTCACACCCACTACTTTTTCCTATTTTTCACCTCAATAAATCACGTGTGATGAACAACTTGGTGAGTAAATGGCTAATAATTATGTTGTTAGGAAAAAAGTTGCTACTTTTACGTAAAAATACCTTTTAAATAAGTCAAGCAAACACATATTTGCGATACGAATTTATTAGAAGTTGCGGCTTATCATAAAAGATCATGAAATTAATTAGTATTTTTTTTTTATGTAAGTAGTTTAATAAAGATATATATTTTGCATATTGCATCACGGGAAAATTTTTAATTTTAAGTTATCACGTCCCTATATGATATTTAAGAAATATGCGGGGCGCAGAATTTAATATAATTTGCAAGGAAATAATTTACTTATAAAAATAACCAGCGAAACTACAAAATCACAAATCTAAAAAGAAAGATTGTGAGCAATCTCTCTAAGGTAATCCATAAGTTCTCTATTTTTGTGATCATAATACACTGTTTGTATACGATCTTCACGTTCATGATCTTGTTTTCTTTGTAACGATCGTGATGCCTCTCACAAAATGGATTCTATATGAAGTTGCACTTGTTTTTACTCATTTTGTAGTTCTTTTATAATTTTAAATACACCTACATGAGCACGACCTACTAATATTTCCCATCTTCTATGCCAAACCTCCACATTATTTTGAGTTCTTGGAAATGAATATTCAATATTGTCAGTGACAGACCAAAGTAAAGGTGGAAATAATGGTTCAGACTGAATTACATTTCCATTTTGTAATGTACGTCTAATTTTTCCATGAATATAATAATTGTTGAACTAATCTAAAATTTGGCTTGCTTCTGCTGACATATTAGTTTTCAATTCATTAAAAGCTGTAAGAATTTCATTGTAAGGTAAAAAAGCAAGGGCTGAAATATGACGAATTAATAAACTAAAGTTTTCATCAGTTCCATACTGAATAGTGAGACCAAAAGCCTGTACTTTGCGATATATATTTTGAGATAAATGAAAATGACAACATTTATTTTACACTCCTTAAAATTCTGCACAGATAGCATTAATTGCAGCTTGTTCAAAATCTGTTAAAACAAACTGTGGTTGTAAATCAACATTATGTTCATCACTAAAATCAATTAAAAACTGAAATAATATTCTATAGCATTCTTCAGATTTGTGAGACATTAATGCAAATACTAATGGCATAATCTGTGAATTTTCATCTCTATAAACACATCCATAAATTGTGTATAGTTGTTTAAAAATTGTTAGAACTGTCTTAAAAGTACCATTCATAATCCAGAATAGTGATTATACTAAATGTATTATATTAGCAATAGTTGTAAACATTAATACTCTTCTATTATTTATGGTTGAATTTCTAACTAAAAACTCCAATCCATTTAAAGTTACTTGCATATTTTTAGGAATAGTAAGATTTTCCAAAGATATTTTCTCTGCAGGAATATTAACATATTGAACTTATTTAACTGTTTGACAAAGTGATCATGTAATGGTAAGTATGGATATATTTTATGTGAACTACTTGCAACAATAGTTTAAATAACTTATGCAGGTTGTTCATTAGTTTGTTGTGATCATTCTTTTAATATATTAATAATTATTATTACATTAACATGACTGGCATTAGCAGCATAATTATGATCTAAAGTTTTTTGAAGATACTGCTAATCTTTAATCAATTTAATAGTAGCTCTTCTGTAGCATTTTAATAAGTTTCATTTTTCACAATATCAATAATATGAATTTTCTCTATTTTTATCTTTAAACATAAGATAGCCATGAATATTAAGTTTAACTTTATTATAAGTAGAAAAAACAGCTTTACAAATAATATTATTCATTAGAAAACTTTGAAGAAAAAAGATAAGAAAAACAATTGTTATTAATTGTGTATATAATAATACATAAAATAATTTTAACTTTAATTAGAATGTAATATTTCAAATACATTAAATAACATTTCTATATTAAATAATAATTTGCATTGTATTTTATAATAAATAGTATTTCATATTGTAATTATCATTTGATTATCAAATAATGTATGTAAATTTGAATTTTCTTAATTGACAATTGTCATATGAATTTCTCATAAATAAAAAATAATATGTCAGTAATTTGATTGTCAGTAAAATATACTTATCAGTAAAATGATCATTGATAATCTAAATATCAGTAAAACGTACTTGTCGGCTAAATGATTGTCAGTTAAATGATTGTCAGTAAAATGATTGTCGGTAAGTTAAATGCGACCCATTAAAATTATATTATATATTATTAATTATATTATAAGCTATATTTATTATCAATAATAATAAATAATTTAATATTATTATAATTTATTTATTTAAATTTTTAATTATTTTTATTTTATTAATTATAATAATTAATTTAATAAGCATTAATAATTTATATTTTAATTAATTTAATCATTATAATTTAATTTATAAATAAAAGTTTATTTAAATAATTACAAATTGTATTTTTTATAATATTTACTTTATATATTATATTACTAAATAAATATTTCATAAATTATAATAATATAATGCAGTTATAAAAGAAAAAAATATTTAATATATTTATAAATAAATTTTAATAATAATATCTATTATAAAAATAAATTAAAATAAATAAATTAAAATATAAATATTTAATTTATATTTAAATTATTTCCTATTCATCATTCATAATATTTAAAACTTCAGTAGGGCAAATTTGAGACTTCTGGGGTCAAAAATCGAAAAGATATCCAGAAAGGTCCAATTACAGGCCAGAAGCCTTCTAGCTATATGAATCCATAATATAGAATTTAGGTTTAGAAATTACAACAGCGCTCAATTTCGATATCAATTTCTTTTGAAATCTTTATTGAACCCCAATTTAACCTACAAGACCAGAAAACATATCAAAATCCAATATAGAATTCAAGCTTAAAATCGAGCTAGGGCTTAAATTTAGTTAATATATCTTTTACCCAAATTTTAGGTTTTCAAGACTAAGATGCATACCATCTTTGTTAACATGCTGGCCTCTTTTTAAGCCTAATTAGCATATCATTTTTTTTATGTTATCCTAGAATTAATTCTAAAACTGATTAATAGTTGTAAACAAAGGGTTAAATTTTGGTACCACAACTAAAGGAAGGGTACCAAAATTTCGTATAGGATACCAAAATTTCTGGGTAGGGTACCAAAATGTTGAATGATAGGAAGTAAATCAAAAGGGTCATCGAACCTATTCTAGTATACAATTAATTTCTTGTATGCAGGAAATCATTCTAGAGCCAATTCTTCTAGAAAATATTAGGGTCAAAAAGTTAAACGAAAAAAAAAATAAGTCTTACCTCTGGGGTACCAAAATATCAGAGCATACAAGGTTTAAGGATACCAAAATTCTGGGCAGATACCAAAATTTTGTATGAGGTACCAAAATTTACGGTTAGGATACCAAAATGTTGAATGATAGGAAGTAAATCAAAAGGGTCATTGAACCTATTCTAGTATACAATTGATTTCTTGATATGCAGGAAATCATTCTAGAGCCAATTCTTCTAGAAAATACTAGGGTCAAAAAGTTATACGAAAAAAATAAGTCTCACCTCTGGGATACCAAAATATCTGGGCATACAAGGTTTAAGGATACCAAAATCCCAGGCGGGTACCAAAATTTAAATAGCTTAGC